TTGCCTACATATAAAAAATGTGAAAATATAGCAACAAATAATAGTAGAATTGTAACCTTACGGTTTGGATTTTAATACTACCATTTTTGTTTCACAAGAAATTGTGCTTTACCCTATTTTTGTTAGATAATGTATACTACGGTTCAGTGTTGAGCATTGTAATCATAGTTTTGTGAATTTGCCTTGCTCTTGGTTATTTTGTTTTACTTCCTTAGGACTTCCTCATGACAACTAAAACATCTATTAATTCTTGAGACTTTATTAAACAACATCAACAACAATACAAATATGTAATAACCTTGTCATTCGTCCAGCATAACCTAAAAGTAATGGAATTTAATAATAGTTGGCTTACGTTATAAACTTGGTTTGTGATATATATTTTTTGGACAACGTGCCTAACTTACCTTTTTTTTTATTGCTTTTGGGTGTCTTAAATAATGAATGTTTGACTTTGCAATCTTGGTTCAAAAGTTGTTGGCGGGATCAGCAGTTATGTGCTGCTTCTGATACCTAAAAACAAAAAGCGTGTATATTAATGTAGCCTTCATCTTTTAGAACTGTGGTGGTAGAGTTATTCAGTTATTAATTGTTTACTTACTTTTAACGGGTTGACATTTGTATTGACGTAACGGTAGATCGAATTGATCGCACTAGGCGGCGTTTTATCGCGGGGTTGCCAAGTGTATCGCTCAGCAATGTACGGAGCAACACTGTTCATATATCCGGCACCTGTTGTAGTTGCTTTCCTATTGGTTTAATTTTCGTGCCTAATTTGAATTTAAGATCTTTTGTCAAGCCTTTTTACCGCTATATGTTGTTTAATATCGGGAGTTTTTATTGTTGTCAGATTTTTAGTAATTGTCTTTTTTATTTGACATGGTTAGTTTCAATTTAAGAGCATATTTTGACATTTTGGGATGGTTGTGCGCAGGTCTGGTTTTTGAAGGGGGACAAAGTAATGTAGAAGCCGGAAGCAGGTTTGTCTTGTGATGGTTGTCCAGAGAATAACATGGTCGATTTTTCGCTCTGCCAAGTGAAACCTTATTAAAGGGATATAAGACATGTTTATTCATATTAGGAACCGTGCAATGTTGTTTGTTGGCAATTGATGGTATTTTGAGTGCCGGATCCTATCGATGTATTTCGGATATAACTGGATTTAACTTCACCTGACCAAACTTTGCTGGATCTACATCAATCCGCTTTTGATATTATTTGGAGATAATTAAGATCTATTTCCTACGAAGACAAAACCCTTCTCGAAGGTAAGGTTAGTTTCTTCATCCAAGATGCAAATTCTTATGCTCATTTTTTCTTTTAGGGTTTTAAGTTTCGACTTTTTACGTTTACCTTTTTAAGTTTAAGTTTTAAGCTTTACATTTTAATTCTGGGCCTAGAGCCTCAGTCTAAGTCTCAAGCAAGTTTATTGTATCAAGTATAAAGATCAAATTGTTTTAAGTTACACCTCCTGTGTCACCCACGATCACCAGGATATTAGATATTGGATACCGTACACGGATGGACTGACGTACAATTCTTACCGGAAAAGCTCCACGTACACCAATTTTGTATTACAAAGTACATAACTAAGGTCAGATCCATTTCTTTCACTAACAATTAGGTCCTGGTAGAATATTTTTTTTTAAATTTAATCATATTTAATATAAACTTCGAATAGTGTGAACTGCGGGTACATTGGCCAATATACACGAAGGGTTTTTAACATCAAACTGTAATACCAGGGTACTTTTAAATAACTTGTACTTTAAAATAACTTATCTTGAGATCTGATTTAAGTATTTTTTTATACTGTGTAACTTCGTGTAAAATACACTTCAATTTTTTTTAGTAATTTCTTTTATTCTAATCTCACAAAAAAATTACTTGGTGCCCAATTTTAAAAAGTTATAAGGTAAGTAGTAGTTACGAAGGACATTCACCCACGACCATCTGAGCTAGCGGGATTTTGTGGTTCAGAGTCCAAGATAGGGATTCTGCGCTATAGAATGACCAATAAAACGTATTATTTTTCTAATAAAAACTCTAATTGTAGATACCGAGTTTCATCAGATACCTACCTACCTTTAACATCTTTTTTGTTGTTTTCCTGTGTAAAATACGCCAGTTTTGTAATGGAGCGAAGCAGCGCAGCGGTTGAAATGCAAATGTAAAGCATTTGTAAAAGGATTTCTCGTGCCGTTACGTGTAAAATTTCATAATAATAGGATGTAGTCAAGTTAAATATCAGCTTTATCTAAATAAACATTTATGTAACAATAAAACGTTGGTCGCTCTATTTAAATACGCCGATAAATATCAGAACCATTAAACAAACTATGTTGTTATCTTGATTTAAAGTTTAAATGGGAACGTTTTTTTAATCAATTTTGAGTTTATTTGCTTTGAGATTTACAACGTTGTAAGCTGTATTATTTATGTAAATACTGCGTACAGAAAAACAATAAGGTTTTGTTTAATTATTATTTTTACATCTTTTTTTATATCTTGTTTGGAGTATGTCATAAAACTGTTATCTACTATGAAAAACTGGAAAGTACTTTTATATAGAAGTATCACAAGGTTTCCTTTTTGACCCAAGTGAGTTATGAAGTTAAAATTATCTAAAAATGGTTTTGTCCAAGCATGGTGTTAAAACATAAATAAAAAGATTAAATCTACCATTAAATTCCTTAAAAAAAATGTCTTTCAAAGAGGATTAACGAGGGTTTTTCTTGTATTGAGGTCGATTTTTTAGATCTATAAAAGACATTTTTATTAAAAAAAATTAACTAGTTTTTATAAATGAGAATGCAGTAGTGCAGGAAAGAAGGCCTTGTACTTGACACTGTAAAACAATAAGTTAATCCCAAAATATATATTGTTCCCAACTCAAGTTGAATTCAGACAACGCTTGAAAAAAATGAATCAAGTTATTATTCCACTAGTGGAATACTGAAAAAAAAAACAAAAAAGAAATAGAAGACCACCTACTTCTATGGATAAGCCACTAAAAAACCATACTGTTAAAAAACGATTTTTGTTATCAATTTTTCCTTAAAAATCCTTAAATCGAACGCCCATTATCGTACATGTTTCCATGACACTAAGTGACCTTTTAAATACACATTGACAAGTTGTGGCTTTATGGCGTTTTAGTCACGGGAAGCAGTTATCATCAGGTGTTTAGTCATGGGCTGAAGTTAGCTTTAAGTTAGTTGACAGTTGTCAAATGTCATACAATCGTTGTAAAATAATACTAAATGTGAAAATTAATTTATTATCTCAATACAAAAGCATTAAATAGTTTCTTAACTCCAATATTTGAAAAGTTTATATGAACATTGTACTGACCTTTTAATTTCGTCGGCAGTAAACCAGATATAACTTAAATTCGGGTCGGACACCCCCGTGAAATGCTAATAAAACATCTTCTTCAATTTCACTGTGAAAAACTTGTTAATCCATTTTCAAGGGATACATTTCGATTTATAACACACAAAAATTTGACATTTGACGATAACACAGATTCCCCTATTGTTTTATAGATGGCGCTCTAATAATAAGTATTTGACGTAGAAAAAGTATAGTATGCACGTCGTTTGTAAACTTTTCTCGCAAGCTCGCTCGTGCCTAAATTAAATTCGTGTCTAAAATGGCGTTTATCAAATCATACATGGTACATAATATACCAAGTATTTAAATTTAATATTCGCAACGTTTGCTCGATTTCAAAACGATTTAAATACTTTAAATAATATTAAACCATGCTAGAAACAGATGTTGGATTCATTCGTAATTCTTGACAAATCTATAATAACATCGTGACTTTACGATCTCCCTTCTAAGCGTTTTGAATCTTGCGGTTTTAAAAATGCTTTGGCTTTCTCAAAAATTGTTTGAGAAACGTAGGAAATTTTTTTGATAAGAAACTCGTATGTGTGCGTAGATTTCAAATAAACAATACAAAAATTGCGTGTCCCAACCCCATTATAAATAATAAATTACAGCTATGTTTACCCTATTAAAAATGCCATATAGAAACACAAAATAAAAATCTATCTGGTTCAATATAGGAATTTGAAACAGGCATTGCACTATTGAACCAGATAGAATTCCATACCTGGAAAACCATATAGAAAAGTGATTTCTATATGGATTGCCATATAGGTTCATGTTGCTCTATCTGGCCCAATATGGTTTGGGTGTGAAAAAATTATTACCATATAGATCCATATTTAACCATATAGGGGAATCTATATGGTTTAATATGCAATTTTCGTTTAAATATATATACATTTTAAAATCGAATTCCATATTCAACCATATAGGGAAACCTATATGGAAAAACACATAAAACAGAAACCAGATAAATCCATATAAAAATCCCTAAGTTGTACATTTTAAAATGAAATTTCCTCGGAAATTCCATATTAAACCATATATGGTTTATATATAGATTCCAAAGTGTAAACCAGGTCGTTCCATATAGGACATATAGAACCATATAAATCCATATTAGTTTCCTTATCTGGATCAATATGGGTTCTATAGGGCATTTTTAATAGGGTAGGTACAGATAATACATATTTACATAACTTTTGCATAGAAAACAAGTTTAGAAAACCATAACACTTATCTGTCAAGTTGACAGTGTCAATACAATTAAGGTCAAATTACTTCTACAAGACAAGTGTTCATTTTTATTTAATTTTTGATATGTGTAACTCGACCATTTTCTCCACTTGTTGTACAATATAAGTAGGTTCTATTAAATAAAGATGTTTCACAAGGTTCAGTATTTTGACCATACAGAAATCTCCATAAAATTAGTATTATTTTCCCTAAGTCTAAGAATAATATCCTTGGCCAGGATTCCTGGCCCAGAAAAAAAAAATACAACCGAACACAGCTCAATTCGAGGTGTAGGTAATTTTGCTTAAAATTGTACGATTGTAATTCGACCAGTTTGCTAATGGTGTTCTTTTCTGTTGCTTCAGGTTGTCAAAATTTAGGATGTGCCAGTGTTGGTTAAGTTGGCGGCTCGCGGCGGCTGTGCGGCAGCAGCTCGACGGCGGCCGTCAGCGATGCCAGCTGTGCAGCGGCTGTGCTAGCACAATGGCATGGCGGGCCCAATGAGATCCTCCGCGCACGTAACCACTCAGGAAGCGCCACCGGGCCACCGACCGAGGGTGGCGGACCAACAGCACCAGTCTGCTCACCAAGCCGCCAACAGCGACCCCGCAGCAGCAAGCCGCCGTAGCCCGCCGCAAGCAGCCACCCACCACCACAGCCACCATCATCATAGCCACCATCACCACCACAATCATCATTCCTCGTCGTCTTCGCATCATCAGGTAGCCGCCTCCACGGGGAACAGACTAACAGCGGCAGCCTCTTCCTCCTCCTCCTCCTCATCTTCCTCCTCATCTACTACTTCTTCAAGTACGTCCTCTGCTGCCAGCCGGCAAAAGAATTGCCACGACATTAAAGGTGAGTTTTTGAAATTTTATAAAATCGAATAAAAAAAATTGTTTAAGGTTTCAAACTGTCGATAACCATTCTAACCATCCAAAATATAAGTAACATGACAAAAGATTCATTTGAAAAAAATATGAGAAAAGTTTCACAGGGCTGGGTTTTGGGACTTTAGGACCTTTATAATTAACAGAATAAAGGGCGTCACCAAATAAGTTGTCATTCTTTATGGTGCATTTTTTGGTCCGCCACTGGTTGTTCCTGACCTATGACAACTAACGCAAAATATGCTTGCACAGTGCAATAATCTACATTCATTAAAAATTTACATTTGTGTTATCATTGATGACTTTGTTGATAACTGTTTCTTGTTTTGCCTACTTAGCTATTTTTAGGTACTTTGAATAAAACAATACTTACTTTTTATTGTTGGGTTTATCTCGAGGCTTCCGTGGTTTTCCCGTCGATTTTAAATTTCACCTTTCACTTTTTACGTCGATTGATGCTCATGTAGCTATTTTTTTTTAAGTTTTCCACAAAATCATAATAAATGTTCAACTATCCCGCCGTTATTATCCATACAAAGTTGACAGCGGCGTGGAAAATTATCATGTGTCGCTCTTGCTATCCTATCCGGATGATTTCGGATTTCATTTTCGGCTGCAGTGACAAGCTCGCGGAGTTGTTCTAATGTGTCAACTTCGCTCTGGTACACTGAACTGTTCATGTAGCCTCAGAGAAACTACAATAACAACCGAACTTTTCAATAAGTTAAAAAGTTCGCTTGATATTACATAAACAGTGTGTGCACATACCTGTTTCTTTTTTGCTTGTATAAATAATATCATTGTTTTTAAAGGTAAAAATTTAAGGACATTTTAGACAAATTTAAAAACAAACGTTTTATTGGATAAAAATAAATTATTCATTGGATAACAAAAACAAAATAAAAATATCTACTTTTTACCCTAAGGTACGTACTAAAATAAAAATAAACAATTTTATCTCCACGCGGTCTATAATTTAAACTTTATTGTTGTCAACATTCGATAAAGAAATACCTTGTTATGGCATAGCCGATAAAAAATTTTATGAGGCAAGTAATTAGTTCGATTTTTTCTCGCTAGGGGTATTGTTTTCACAAGTTAATCTTTTTCTAAGAAATTAATGTACTAAACTGGTTTAATTTATTTATAATAAGCACTAATTTGTTTGTTTTACTGTTAATGATTAATATTTTTCATTAAATTATTGTAAAATTAAATATGAATAATAAAACAAAAAGTGAGGTTAGGCAAACAAGAAAACGCACGATTCTTTTTCTACGATTTAAATTATCTTTATGTTTTTATGTGCTTTAAGTTTTCAGTGAAATTAAATGTTAAACACAACTTAAACATTCCAAACTACCTATTTTTTAAATAAAAATCCAAACAAATTGAAATTAGATAGATTTATTAAACAATTAATTGAATTCAATGTAATAGCAAAAATCCATTTCTACTTAAATCATGTTGCTAGGTATTGTCAAACTACATTACTGCTTCTAAAAGCAATAATAATTATTGTACATTTAATGTAATCTTTAGCTAATCAATAAATGAGATTCTAAAAAAGTGAGGTTAGGCCGCTTTGATGTTGAATTAAATTGACCTATATAAAGTGCTTTGAAGCTTTGAAAAATGTTGTATGCCATTCGGCCAAGAAGTGCCTTTTTGTGCTTCGCTCAATTGTAGGCCTCCGCTACGCTTAGCATAAAAAGCCTTACTTCTTAACCTAATGACATAAATAACTATTGTATTCAACATTGTTAAAAGAAAACTAAAATATTTTATGTCTTATAGGGTACTTTTGTATCATTGTTTTGAAATTAATACGTTTTTTTAAAGCTTTAATTTTATCAAAAAGCTGTTCCTTTTCTTTGGTGCTTAGTTCAACTAGAGTAGCCTTTACTCTGTAGGTCCGATTTATTAATTGTCTTTTCAGTATTCAATACTTTTTCGATATTCACATGTCCCTTTTAAATTAGCTGGTCCAAATTGTTAATTTTGTTTTGATAGGAGTCAATTTGATCATCCAATTCGCTAATTTTAATCAAACAACATAGATAACAAACTGATGTTTTGGTGTTCTTATCATGACGAAATCATGTGACAGGTTTATGGGGCGATTTTAAATATTAACAAAACAAAAAATTCCAAATTTTAGGTTATATCATGACAAGACCAATTTTATAGGACATTTAGGACAGAATGCTGAATTTTAGCACTTTTAGGATATTTGAGAGACCTGTACAAATAACATGGATAGCGATCTTTTAACCCATTTTCTATCAAACAATCGCAGACGACTGCGATTTGACTGGCCTATGTAGCTGTCGGGTCGCAACGGCTGGATATTTAGGTTTTATTGTTGAAATAGGTACCTAATTAAATTATTCATTGGGTAAGAATTTTTGTATTTGCGATCGTTACCTTAATACAGAGTTTTCGACCAGTAACCCCCTGCAGATTAAGGGTTGAATTCGTGTTTCGCGAATAAAAGTCGTATTTTTTATTTTATTGGAAAAACAGCCAATACCATTTTAGACAACATTTTAAGTTCTACAAATTTGTATACCTGATATTACTATTATTACTTGATATTACTAATATTATAATTATATACTTAATAACCGATTATTTAAGAAAACAGGGGGTTGAGAATTTGTTCCGGTCGAATATCTTATTAGCGCTATCGCAAACATTGTCATTCAAAAGTAGTTAAACACAATTATCTACAACTGTTATTAAAAAAAATCATTTGAGCAATTGATTACTTACTGTAATCATTTATTACTTGTTAAATATTCAAAAATATCAAGTTTCCTAACTCGTATCCGAAGGGACAAAAAAAAATTGTTGGAGCAAAGGAAAGAAAATTAATAAGTTTGGGTTATAGAAATATTCAAGCTATAGAAATTCGACTTAAAAAGATAAAATACCTACATGTAAAATAAAAAAAATCAAATAATTTTAATTATATAAATTACATTCCTCCAAGAAAATTAACCAACATAGTCAGGAAAAAAAGAACACACCAAGTCAGAAAAATTTGTTTTAAAAATGTGGCATGTTCCAGAAGCTTTAAAATAAGGATTTTACTGTAAACCCAATTTTGTTATATATAAAAAAAAATTTTTGTTATAATTTATAATTTACAAATTTCAACATAAAGTAAATAAATAAACAAGATTTTTAAGAGGTTTCACAAGGTTCAGTATCTGGACCACTTCCCCATAAATACAAATGACCACTTTAAAATTTTCGTCTTAGAAATTACAATATGTAAAATATAATTAATGTTTTTTCATAATTTTTCATAAAAAAGTTTAACTTTTTACCTAAATTTTTCAATAAATTCGACTTATTTATGATTTCAAACATGAGCAAAAATACAATTTTACTATAAAACGCCCTAAACTATTTTTTTGTAATAGGTAAATAAGTTCAGTATTGAAACCTTAAATATAATTTCTCTTATATCTTTACATAAAAAAACAATTTTCCTATTTTATTGTTGGGGTACCAACTATAAAAAAATGAGTTAAAAAAACATAAAAAAGCACTCAAGTTGCCAAAACAATCAACTGGATAAAAATAAACAAATACTTATAATTCGGAAAGATGTCATAGGCGTCTCTCGGGTACGGATGTACGGATTTAAGGGGACCTTTTTTCGAAAATTTAACGCTTTAATGAGAGGCTTATTATGTCCGTGGGCGGTGTCCGACATTTCCATATCAATTATTCCAGCGAGCAGGTAAAATTATTTTCGAAAGGGAAATTTTAATCCCTTGCGGTTGTACTCGGTAAAACTGAAAACTCTACCCGAGCCTACTGGATACAACTATACACAACTAGTACATGTCACCCCTTTTTAAAGGGTTGCTTTCATTTATTCACCGACTATAAACATACAACTGAGTTTGGAAAAAGTATTTATTTGAAAACAAAGAGAGTTTGATGAAAAAGATATTTAATAAATGAGTCATGTCGTAGATGTAAACAAGAGACCTGTAGGTAAAGTGGCTGCTGGCCCACACAACGAAAAACAGATGAATTACGGCATTTGTGACGTAGTGTATACATTTTGGAGATAAAGTGGGCGTGGCCGGTCGCATCCCCCGTCGTCAAAGGCGACTAGACGGAAATAAATCTCGAGATTTCAACGTCGTCTTCGTTAATGCCTTTATGACGACTTACACTTTGTAGTTACAATGTCTAGGAAAAGCAAATGAGATTTTTATTTTCACACAGACGGTTTTATACGTAATTGGGATAAAGGTTTCATTTTGTTTTATTACTTTTATTTAATACCAAGTTTACGCTTCAGGCTGTCTAGTTTAAACGTTAGCAACAGTTAAGTGTCTCACGGCAAATTAAGGGTGGCTATGTAATTTCAAAAAGAGTTAAGAATAAGTGAATTTGTGAAATTTTGTATCTTCAGATTTAAAACCACAAATTAATACAAAGTAATATAATAATAGGTATTATGTATCAAGTTTGATAAACGCCATTTTAGTCACGAAGTTTCACCATTAACATTGCCCGTTATTTTAATTAAACTTAACATTTATACTTTAAAATATTAAAATAACTTCAATTTGATTTTTTTATTACTATAATTGCAAAATATTATCACAAAGTATTCAAAATTCTCACACGGGAAATGTGAAAGGAACAAAAAGTGACAGTTGTATTTATTGGAATTCCCGTTAGAATTTATAACTTGGGAATCTACCGGCGTTAAATACCCAAATTTTTCTGTGTAAATCAAAATGTATCCCTTGAAAAATAGACTAACAATCGATATAGAAGCAGTTTTTCACACTAAAAGAGAAGAGAATGTTTTATGGGCACTGTATACAAAATTTTTAACGATCTATCAGTTAAATCTAAACTGCAGTACAAACGTTCATATAATGTTTTCAAATATTGGCGTCAAGAAACTATTTAATACATTTGTATTTTTTTATTGAGATAATAAAATAACTTTCACATTTAGTATTATTTTACAAGAAATGCACTTTATTTTAAAAATTGTAGGACCTTTGACAACTGTAAACTTAAAACTAACTTCAGCCCGTGACTAAAGCGCCATAAAGACACAACTTGTCAATGTGTCACTTAGTGTCATGGAAACATGTACGATAATAATAATATTTAATAATATTACGATTTTTCATAAATATACATCACTTTTACTACACAGAAAAAACGCTAGCATAGCATGAATGGGTGAGCCATTATACCAATGGGATCTTGTAATCCGTATTCCTGAATAACAGTTCCTATAATACCAATAGGTGGTTAGCACTTGGTTTTTAATCGTTTACTGTTTTTAAATTAACAACAAAAGTTATCGCTCCTAAATCTATTTATATTTATTTCATTTTATGTTAGAATGTTATTGCATTAAATACTAATTTGATTTATTTAATAACGTTACTATAGTATGTATACTATGTATACATTTAACGCAATAAATTCTTTGACATTTAGGCAAAATGTTTCCCTATTTTGATTTAATAGTATTTAATTGAGCAAATAACAATTTAGATTGCTTCAATTTTAATGCATTTAATGACAGCGCTGTTCTTGGTACTATGTTGGACTTTTTTATGTGTACCTACTAAAAAGGATGATTATTCAGAAAAATAAATATTTTATGAAAAAAAACCTGAGGGTTTAAAATTTTATGTAGGTACATTAAATGTTGGTCTTAGGTTTAATTGTTTTTGTGCTATATTTAAACGTTTTAAAGAACACCAAGAACAAATTTAAACTTTTTTTCATTAATTTTTGATGTACCTACATTTGGTCTTAGGTTTTATTGTTTAGGTGATATATTTAAACGTTTTGAAGAACACCAAAAACAAATTGAAACTTTTTTCCATCCATTTTAGATGTACTATGCTCCACACACGGCTCCACACTTCAAAGTCCCACCAAGTGACTATGTACGGAACGCAGTCTTTTGAAAATTTGGCATTTAAGGCTTTTCAGGTTATGTATGTGTCAAAATATTGTCAACGAAAGAAATAATATTATGTTTAGGCGTTAAAAATGTATAAATCTTTATAACATTACAATAACAATGGTTGGTTTAAGAATTTAGGAATATAAATACTGCATTTAATGAAATTCGAAAGTGTATGGTGCCAAATAAGTAATATTTTTGTGCATTTGGTCAAAATATCAGGTATAAAATAATTTTAACTAAACAGCATTTATTAAAAAAAATCTAGCTTCTCTATTATGGAATAAGTTAATCTGTATTAAAGGTAGGTTAATATATATTATAACAAAAATATCATCTAATTTTGTAATTTTAAGGTTAGAAAAATTGATATTGACCAAAATATATAAGTATTTTGGATTATTTGAAAATCTGTATAATATGGTATTTAAAAATGTGGCAGTTTTTCTAATCCACCTTAAAGTGTACCTACATAAAGTTTTTATAAATCACATGTCATAGGAGTATTAAATATTTTCACATTGCAAGTTTCTCTAAAAATTGTTTGTTTTCTTATAATCTAACTTAAAGTCCGAGGCCGAGAGGTATGCATAAGTTTTGTCGTTAGAAGTATAAAAGCTTCAATTTAATTTGAACCATATTCAAAAATTATTTAGTATACCTATATTTATTTATGACCATATTAACCTCGATATTAACACACTTTTCCGAATAATCCACTTATTTATTTTGGTAAAAATACATTTTTCCAACCTTAAAATACAAAATTAGATGATATTTTTTGTTCTAAAACATTAACCTACCTTTGATACAGATATTCTTATTCCATAATGGAGAAGTTAGATTTTTTTTTAATAAATGCGGTTTAGTTAAAACTATTTTATGGAGAAATGTTGAACCAATGCACAAACATATCACTTATTTGGCACCATACACTTTAGAATTTCATTAAATGCAGTATTATTGTGATACTATAAAGTTTTATTAACTTTTAACGCTTAAACATAAGCGGTATCACTATAAATATGATTTCTTTCATTGACTATACTTTGACAGATACATAACCTGAAAAGCCTTAAATGCCAAATTTTCAAAAGACTGCGTTCCGTACGTGGTCACGTGGTGGGACTTTGAGGTGTGGAGCATAGTACATTTGGTCTTAGGTTTTATTGGTGAGGTGATATATTTAAACGTTTTGAAGGACACCAAAAACAAATTGGCATATTTTTTCATTCATTTATGAAGTACCTACATTTGGTCTCAGGTTTTATTGTTTAGGTGATATATTTAAACGTTCTGAAGAACACCAAGAACAAATTAAAACTTTTTTCCATCCATTTTAGACCACCAGCTGTCCTCCTCATCGAGCAACAGCAGCAACTCGAACAGCTCGACGTCGTCGTCTTCGGTAGCGCCGAGCAGCCAAGCGCCAACGACCACCGTGCCTGGACCCACTTCCAGTTCGAATTTTGAGTACGATGACAACGAATGGGACATCGGTATCGGCGATCTGATAATCGACTTGGATGCCGACATAGAAAAGACGAACGACAGCACGCAGCAGCAGCGACAGCAAGAGACAGCCGCCACAGCGGCGCAAATGGCGGCGAACGCGGGCGGCGCGCAGGCTTCTAAGGCGGCCGCCTCGGCCAAAATGCACATTGGTAAGTTCCGCAAGGTTCATTCATGGGCCCATTCGATCTTTCGAGACGCATAAACCACTTCTGCACAGAAAAAACGCTAGCATAGCATGAATGGGTGAGCCATTAATCCAATGGGATCTTGTAATCCGTATTCCTGAATAACAGTTCCTATAATACCAATAGCACTTGGTTTTTAATCGTTTACTGTTTTTAAATTAACAACAAAAGTAATCGCTCCTAAATCTATTGATATTTATTTCATTTTATGTTAGAATTTTATTGCATTAAATACTAATTTGATTTATTTAACAACGTTACTATAGTATGTATACTAGGGTGATTCATTTCCGCAAAAAACTTTTTTTTTCTCGGCGCTCAAGCAAAATAGAAAAGCCCTCTTAATATCAATTTTAACTTAAAATTTTTAAGTACTTGCAGTTTAAATTTAAAGTTTTCCCATTTAAAATGCATGTAAAAAAAATGTTTTTTTTTTCAAATTTCTAATGCTCGCCCGCTTTTTACAATATTGTGAATCGGTTTTATGGACCTTATAGGGAATTTCACGCTCTTCAAAATTGTCTTTGTGTTTTTTTGTGTAACTCGTAGAGGTTCGCCAGTAGGAGTCATCAAAGTTCAATTTTTTGAATGAACATTATTTTGCATTTTTTTTTAACAATTCGCAAAAAATAGTGAAAAAAAAGAGCTGAATCGTAAAAAAATAGTCTTTTAACAAATATTTGATGAATTTACGGCCATTTTTATATCTTAAAACGTAAGTAATTGATAAAAATTAACCAATTATGCTATTTAAATTAAACTTTCTTATTTACTATCGATATAATTCTCTACAACAATAACTTTTACAGAGTTATTATGATTTTTGACTTATAATAAATATAAAAAAATACATTAATTAATAAAAAAAACAACAAATATACAATTGCAACTTAGATTTTGCAATTTTTCAACATTTCCGTAATATAGCAATAAATATAAATGAAGGTTATTCAATTTTTTAAACAAAATTCTTAAATTAACGAAACAGTAAATTGTTTTTATTGTCAACTTCATTTGCTTCAATATTGTATAAGTAGAAATTGCTATTTGAATAATTGCACTAAATAATATTTTGATGGCATATTCGAACATAAGTAAAAAAATAATTATAATTATTTGATTGGGAAAGCAACTGTTACAATTTTATGATTGCTTTAGTTAATTAGTATGACGTTAGCGACTCTATTGTCTTTGTAAACGGGTTTGATGCTTTATGTTATACTTAACCCCAAAATGTATTGTTTGTTGTATTTAGTCATATAACAAATATTTAGTGATTAGTCCGAGAACAAAGTACGAAGTGACTAGGTGCACGTTAGAGTGCCTGCAATTTATTTTTTACGGGCACGCTAGTGACGTAATAGATAAAAAACGTCATCACTGCCGTGCCGCTTAATTTAAAATTGGCGGCACAACAATAATATAATAATAAATTGTACCTGTATACATGTTAAGGGCACGTTAGTTACGTCATAAAATAAAATCTTAATTTGCTTTGTATAAAAGTCGAAATAATTTAATATTTATCAACTTGTTTATTTATGACTATTGAGATTTTTATTAAATTTGCAATATATTATCTAATATAATAATGTAATCTGTTATTTGTTTTGATTAAAGTTTTGTTGTTTTTTTTATGAATTGATGTGTTATGTTTATATTTATTTTTAGTCAGAAATCATAATAACTCTGAAAAAGTTATTGTAGAAAATTATATCGATAGTAAATAAGAAAGTTTAATTTAAATAGCATAATTGGTTAATATTTATCAATTACTTACGTTTTAAGATATAAAAATGGCCGTAAATTCATCAAATATTTGTTAAAAGACTATTTTTTACGATTCAGCTCTTTTTTTTCACTATTTTTTGGGAATTGTTAAAAAAAATTGCAAAAAAAATGTTCATTCAAAAAATTGAACTTTGATGACTCCTACTGGAGAACCACTACAAGTTACACAAAAAAAACACAAACACAATTTTGAAGAGCGTGAAATTCCCTATAAGGTCCATAAAACCGATTCACAATATTGTAAAAAGCGGGCGAGCATTAGAAATTTGAAAAAAAACATTTTTTTACATGCATTTTAAATGGGAAAACTTTAAATTTAAACTGCAAGTACTTAAAATTGATATTAAGAGCTCTACCTTGGTGAAATTTTTTTTTTCTATAGGTAGATTAATATTTTGCTTGAGCACCGAAAAAAAAAACTTTGCGGAAATGAATCACCCTAATGTATACATTTAACGCAATAAATTCTTTGACATTTAGGCAAAATGTTTGATTTAATAGTAATTAATTGAGCAAATAACAATTTAGATTGCTTCAATTTTAATGCATTCAATGACAGCGCTGTTCTTGGTACTATGTTAGATTTTTTTATGTGTGCAAATGTTTTGTTGATCAAAAATACAATGTGTTTTTGTAATTTTTCTTCAGAGCACTCGGCGACAGCTGACAAAGGCCTCAAGATGAAAATTAAGCGCACGAAACCGGGCACGAAAACTTCGGAAGCCAAACACGAGATTGTCAAGAGCAACGAACAGAACGGCAACAGCGCCGCAGATCAGACGGAAGGCGCAATCGGCGGCGGTAAAAACGCCGCGACGGGCGGCGGCAAGCACGGCGCCCCCAACGTGGTGGCGCCTTTGCCCGCCTCACAAAATTCCTCTTCGAACAGCAAGAGGGGGTCCAGCGGACACAGGAGGGATAAAGCGAGGGACAAGCATTCGTCGTCTTCCACAAACAGTACAGGTAAGAGAAAAATTTTTATTTTTATTTTAAAATTATTTTAAAATTGAAGAAATACAACATAACTGTGTTTTAACCATCAATTAATGTTGTCATTAAAAACATAATAACTGTTTTGGTTAAGTGCGCAACATTTTTAACAATGCTATTGAATAATTTTTGTGAAGTGAAAGTTTATATTGGCATTAATAGTTTTTCATTGTTATATGGAAGCAATAACAATAAACATATGTCGGTAATTATTTAACAATTTTAATTGAAATTTTTTCTATTGAAAGCGCTTTAGTTATTTTAACTGTAATTTTGAGTTATGCAAAGTTGGGTATTTTTTAGTCTATTTTTAATGTTATAAGCAGAGATGGGATTTTAGGTTGCCACATTTATAAAAATAGGTACCTAAATAGGTAACGTTTTTTCTTGTTTTAGTTGAGAAAATTCTTAAATTAGGTACGTACTTTTCAAAAATAAGTACTGGAAAGCAACTTTTGGGTAGTAAAATAATTTAATTTATTATTGTACAAAATGGTATTGAACATGATTTTTATGATATGAAAAATTTAAAAATAACTGACGAATATGTCTTGTAAAAATTATATATGTATATGCATTAGGGTGGCCCAAACAAAAAGAATATTTTTTTTATCTCGTCTCTTGTGAAAATATGTTGGTGTGTCATGTTTTAAGAGCCCTATCAAAAGATCAGCTCCATTAAAAAAATTTTAATGGATTTTGAAATTTTTAAAAAATCCTGACCGACCCCTAAAAATTTTTTAATCGAGCTGATATTTTGACAGGGCTCTTACAGCATGATAAACTAACATATTTTTACAAGAGACGAGAAAAAAATATATTCTTTTTTTTGGGGCCACCCTAATATGTATAATAACATAACATAAATTTTATAATTTTTAATGCGGCGGCAAATTCAAACTGTTTTTGTTAATAAGCATACAATTGCTGAAAAACAAATTTAGGTAATATGCTCCACACCTCAAAGTCCCACCACATGACTACGTATGGAACGCAGTCCTTTGAAAATTTGGCATTTAAGGCTTTTCAGGTTTGAGCATAGTACATTCATTTTAAAAGAAATATTTAAAAAAATACGTTCTCATAAAAAAGCACAAATTTGCTAGAATTTCTGAAAATACAAAAGATTTTTAAATAAAGCAATGATAACATAAGATTGATTGGAAAAACTTGAGAAACCTGGCAACATTGCACAGAAATGTCCACCAACCACACATTACCAATCCTGTACAACAAAGATATAACTACATGTTGCTCAAGAATTATGTCATCCGAATACGACAACCCCAATATTACAAAAAATAATGTTTTTAATGGTAAAATTTAAAAATTTGGTTTATTTCTGTTAAAAATAAGAATTTAGGTGAAATAGGTAAAATTCAACTAGTTTAGGTAGTAAAATGTAAAATTAGGTTAATTTTTCTTGAAAATAAAAATTTAGGTAAAATAGTTAAAATAAAATCAGGCTTAAATGAAATCATTTTCTTTAAAACGGATTTGATTCCATTGCAACTAAAGTTATGATAGAGTAAACAAATTTGTAGGTAATAACACTGAAATCCAACATAAACACATTTAAAAAAGTTTTATAATGAAAAAAAAATGGTTATCTTGCCCCATTTATTTAAAGATGTCCCACAAGGTTCCGTATGTGGAGCATTTATATTCCTGACAAATATACTATTGGATCTACTTTTTTCAGGCGGCGAACAAAAGAGCAGCCAGCAGACGCCGAAAGGTGGCGGCGGCGGGGGTGGTACGACCGCCCCCTACCAAAACCAACAGACAAACAATAGTGCAGTGACGGTGAACGTGTCGGAAATGAACGGTTTGGTGCGCGTGGCGGCGGGTCAAGTGCCGCCGCCGCGCAGCGTGTTTCCCGCGAGCACGGGACCGGGCCCGCCGACGGCGCAAAGTGCCGCCGTCGCGCCCGCGGCCGCCGCCAACTCGCAGGTTGGCGGCGCGGTGACGGTGAAAAATGAACCGCAGACTAGCAAAGTGAATCAGGGTAGTTCGGGTGGTGGTGCCGCCGCATCGTCGCCCGCCTCCGGTGGCGGTCAACACACTTCTTCGTCGGACGACGGCAGTTCGTCGCCGCCTCCCGCCAAAAAAATCAAAACAGAACTTAAGGTAAGTCATAGTTTTTAGAACAACTCTTTTTGACTTAATATATCTACAATCACAAATGATTTTCAATAAAGAAGTTCCACAAGGTTCTATTTTTCGCGATGAATAATTGTCTACATGTCTACTATAATATTTTAGACGATTTTAGATTTTTATGTTTTGTACTGAGAACAACACTTTCTGGCAAATTTACAAAATTTATTTTGTTTGTGGGCTAAATTTATTTGGCAATAAAAACAAACACAAAGGATTAAATTTTAAGAACAAAGCTTATATTTTATTTATGAAATTAAAACAAAAAATATTTTGTTAAATGTTTGAATTTCAAAACATATTAATAAAATCGAGTTTATTTATATATGTTTATAATATGTCTAAAACCACGTTTATTTTAAAATACATTTTCGTCAAGGGATTCCGCAAGGATCCGTCTTGGGTCCAGTTACATTTTTGGAGAGGCATAAATGAACAAATAATAAATATTCATTTTCACTTATTTTCTGTGGAATAAATTTACTGAATTTATAAATCATCATTCCAATTTACATTATTAAATTGTTCGAGAATATTAAAAGTGCACCTGCTACTTCGATTTAATTGCGTGTTTCTTCGTACGAAATTTCTCCCTCGAAATATCATCGAAAGCTGAAGTTGGGAAAGTTTTCCTTCCTTTATCATTTTGCCACGTCGTTTCAAGTCGAAGGAATAATGGCGAAAAAGCAGCCCCATTCTCTTTCTCATCCCCTCACCAAAAGGAAGGAGCGCACTAAGAAAGGAGTTTTATTAGTAAGACCCTAAGGCCAATAGCGCTGCTTGTCGAATCGAGATAGGATTCCTTGGATGTTTTCTTTATTAAAATTTTAAAAGATTACGATCGGATTCACTGTGTTGTGTTACTGCTTTTTATTAAAGAGCACTTGTTAAATTCCTCTTGATACACCAAGGCAGCTATCGATCGACTTATACACCGCGCCCACTTGATCGACAAGTTTTACTTCACGGAATTTATAGAACACGATTTTTTGCCATCCAATGAAATACCTCTGCAATTGTGACATGTATACGGTTAAAACATTATTAACAGCAGCATCTGTCTGGCTTAATATTGCGATTTAATAAGTCAATATTGGTGAGATGTAGGAAAACTTTAAGCCTAAAATTGACAAATCCCTTGAAATATTCGCAATCCAATTGGCTAATAACGCGTCGAAAAGCGTCGGCACTTCAAAAAACTATTTGAGAGCACATCAGTCATGCCACTCTCTATCTCCCCTTCGCATCTTCCACTTATTAAATCCGGGCAACGTTTTTTTGTGCGTGCCCCTTGCAGCAGAGGAAAGGGGAGTGAACTCCAATAAAAGTATCGAACGGTTTTGTAAAGTAATCGGGTGTTTTAAATTCGTGCATGTGCAAGCAAATAATGGGATTGTTTTATGGGGTTTTTATGTGGTCGGGGTCATAAGTCAATGTAAGAGGTTTTTGGATACACTACTTAAGATTTACTATTCATTTTAATGTGTTTTAAAACAATCACATTCTTTACATTTAGAAATATTATATCCACGAAGTTTTGTCATACTTCGTCTGTTTTATATTCCCCCATTTCCGGTTATAAATTTCTTATTTGTAGTCCTTTCAACGTTTCCATCATACATAAAATTGTAAAACTCCCATCGCATTCTTTAAAATTGCTCCATTCTATTCCCCTATATGACACAATTTTCCTTCATAAATCCATAAATCTTCAAATCTTGTCAACGACGTCAAATTTTATTGCTCCCGCTTAAATCAGTCTTAGAACTGTCCAAAACTTACTAAATATCTTAAAGTCCTTAAATTACCTTTAATCTAGCTAGAAACTGTTCAGTCTTTAACCACCTTCTTAATTAATTTGTCCGATTTGTCCTAAAACCTCCTAAAACGCCTAAAAATGTCCTAACTCTTGGAACTAAAATATTTACAAATTCTTCAATTTAAAACGATTTTTACATTGTTCCACAACTTGTGGACCTCAAGGTTCAGTATTGAGCCCTGTTAGATTTCTGGAAATTATCATCATAAATTATTATTTTAAACAACTGCTTAAACATGGAAATGTGTTATTACTTTACCTATAGGTATAAGTAATGGAAATTTCACAAAGTGTAGGAGTTTCTTAAAGTGTTTTTGTGCCCTGTGGGTTGGCAGTCCTCGTGGGTAACGTACCGGTAATTTGTGAGCGGGCAAATATTTTGCAGGTCATTAATAACTTATGTAAATACGTGTTTGTTATATAGTGTTGGTAAAAGGTAAACAATAAGCCGCCCATTAACTTAGTCAACTTGATCGAAATGGTGGTCAGGTGGTAATTAGGATCAAGGTGAAATTGTTGAAATTTTTCGGTTAAAAGTCTAGATTGAATTATTTACAAGTTTACAAGATTGTCATTTGTGCTGTGTAACATAAAAAATCGCCATATAAGTAAAACAAAATGTCTTGTTTGATGAATCATGTTCTCGCAAGCGTCAGTTGTTAATGGCAGCCTCTATATGTTAATGCATATGAGCGTTACAAATATGATCCCATGTAGTTAGTGCAGATATCGTATTAATAGTTAATATGTTTCCCACACTGCAGTGTGGTACACCAGCCAGCATCCTGTGTGTATCTAAATTGGATATTAAACGCGATGTAGCAATTGCTGGGTTAACCCAGCAGCCGGCAGATTCGATCTGATGACTATGATGACGCTCTAATCTGATGCATCATGCATGTGTCAGCAGGGGCGGATCAAGGTGTGGGTAGGGAATAATAATAATAATAATATATACGAGGTGTGTTCAGAAAATATCGGGAATTTTCGTTTTTTGAAAGAAATATTTATTTATTCCTCTACATTAATGTTGTCGCCTTCAAAATAGTCCCCATTGGATATTATGCACATGTGCCAGCTCTTCTTCCATTACTCGAAACACTTCTAAAACTCGATCTTTGGGATAGCCTTTAGTTCTTTCAGCGATGCGCTTTTAATGTCATCTATGCTTGCAAAACGACGGCCTTTTAAGGTTATCTTTATTTTTGGGAATAGGAAAAAGTCACACAGAGGCATGTCTGGCAATATGGAGGCTGGGGCATCATTACAGTATTGTTTTTGGAACAAATTTTGCTGCCACGCGTTTCATACCCAAAACATTCGAAAAAATTTCATGGGATGAGCCAATCGATATACCAACATCATCAGGGACTTCTCTGATGGTTTATAACCATTTCTTCCACTTTTTCCATGTTTTTATCGGTTGTTAATGTGCTTTGGCGTTCGTCATCTTCAACGTCTTCACTGCCATCTTGGAAACTCTTATACCACTTGTAAACTCTTGTTTTACTTATAGCAGACTCACTAAAGGCCTTTGTTAACATTTCACAGAATTTATTTCATTTTTTAAGCAAAATTGGATACAAATTCTTTGATGCATTTCTTTTAACGAACGAAAATCGTCGAGCTCATAAAACACGTCACAGACAAAGTAAACAATGAAAACAGCTAAGTTTTTATCATACTTCGGGGGCATGTATACCAACATAATAAAGAAAATTGTATGACAACCGGACCCTCCGAACCCGCGAAATTTAACAATTCCCGTTATTTTCTGAACACACCTCGTATCTATATACAGATCTAAATCAAATCTGGGAGATAATTTAAGGACTTTTAAATATATAGTTTCATGACTAGTTAAAATGAAACAAATAAACAGCTTCATTAAAACACCATTGTTAATAGAGGATAAACCATCTGGACTACTTTAAGTTCGGATAATTTGATGAAAACGGAAAAAATGGGTTTTTCGTCGAGCTTCAAGATCGATATTGAGGCGTTTAATAAAGTTTTATCTCCCTCGAGATATAAATCTTCCGAAGTGATTTGGTACAAGGCGAAAGATATAAAGGATCTTTAACATCATTTTGAACAAGCCACTTACTTAGGGTCCTTTAAGAGCAAGAATTTGCTTGATCATATTATTGATTTTAGATTATGTTTTGTGTTTAAACATCTCTTTATGATTCTTTTAAATTACTTTTAACGTTTTTTTCCATGACATGAATTAAACATGTTTATAACCAATAATCAAACACATATTGCTTTCGTGCACCTATAATGCTTCTGTTTTTCTATTTAACGTCAAAATGTATTTAAATATCTAAATGATGTTCAAATAAATCAAGTAAAACTGCGAGTTGAAAACAACCATAAAGATATAAATAAAGGTCTTAAAGCAGCTCCAGGTAAAACGTATAATCTTACCAATTTACATATTTTTAAAGATGAAAAGCTGCCATGTCGAAATAAACATGAATATTCAATTTAATTTTATCGCTTCGGTCGATGATATATGGAATTTTAATAGTCCAGGTGAATAATAAATGTGCTTTAGCATTTCGCAGTCTCATGTTCGTTTTCTTGCATATATTTGGAGGTTCCACAAGGATTAATATTAGGCCCGTTAAGATTTTTGAACAATATAAAACAATTCTTAATGTATTGCAATGATTAATTTATAAAATGAAATAAATATTCCTCGTATTAAATTTATGTAAAAATGTATTAACCTGAACGATAAATAGAATAATTAACGAACCAATAAATTTGAATTGCAATAAAAACATATCCACAGCCAATGTCAGAGCAATTGAAGCGATAATTAACAAGTATGTTTAACAAAAAAGCGAGTTTTTGCTTTTAATAAATTAAATTAACTCTTATAGCGCTAGTAGGTAAATAAACGTTTATTTATTAATAAGCGATAATCCTAATGGACGGCTTACTGCCATTCGCCTCGGGGTACCTTAGAGTATAAATCACTAGACTGAGTATCGGTTTGTTACATTGCATTGGGCTCTATCTAGACGTTTATGGTCTAAGGTATTTAGATTTATATGCGTAATATTTTAATTTTAAACGATTTAATAGCCAGTATGTAATAGTTACAAGGCTCCTTTGCATTGACAACATTGCCAGTTGCAGA